GGCTCGAGGTCATTGTGTAAAGGCTGGAAGCGGGGCCACGTCTCGGGTCTCCGCGAGCCATCAGCCACGTGGCGACGCGGAGACGGCTCCCAGCACGTCGTCTGCCAGTGGTGCGCGGGAGCGTAGGAATGTGAGAGAAAGAGCGTCGGAGGAGCGGGACGCCAGCTCACGCGACACGCCGCGGACGGAGGAACTGAGCGGAATGCGAGTTGTCCAGCAACCGAAGGAATTAATAATACGGAGACACATTCGCTTGGGGACAGCACCGTGTGGGTGGCTGTGTGTGACACAGCCCTATTGGGGACAGCACCGTGTGGGTGGCTGTGTGTGACACAACCCTAGCGGGGACAGCACCGTGTGGGTGGCTGTGTGTGACACAGCCCTAGCGGGGACAGCACCGTGTGGGTGGCTGTGTGTAGCACCAGCCCTAGCGTGGACAGCACCGTGTGAGTGGCTGTGTGTGACACAGCCCTAGCGTGGACAGCACCGTGTGAGTGGCCGTGTGTGACACAGCCCTAGTGGACAGCACCGTGTAGGTGGCTGTGTGTGACACAGCGCTAGCGGGGACAGCACCGTGTGGGTGGCTGTGTGTGACACCAGCCCTAGAGGGGACACGCTGTGTGGGTGGCTGTGTGTGACACAGCCCTAGAGGGGACAGTACCGTGTGGGTGGCTGTGTGTGACACAGCCCTAGAGGGGACAGCACCGTGTGGGTGGCTGTGTGTGACACCAGCCCTAGCGGGGACAGTACCGTGTGGGTGGCTGTGTGTGACACCAGCGTGGACAGCGCCGTGTGGGTGGCTGTGTGTGACACAGCCCTAGCGTGGACAGCACTGTGTGGGTGGCTGTGTGTGACACAGCCCTTGCGTGGACAACACCGTGTGGGTGGCTGTGTGTGACACCAGCGTGGACAGCGCCGTGTGGGTGGCTGTGTGTGACACAGCCCTAGCGTGGACAGCACTGTGTGGGTGGCTGTGTGTGACACAACCCTAGCGTGGACAGCACCGTGTGGGTGGCTGTGTGTGACACAGCCCTAGCGGGGACAGCACCGTGTGGGAGGCTGTGTGTGACACAGCCCTAGTGGACACAGCACCGTGTGGGTGGCTGTGTGTGACACAGCCCTAGCGGGGACAGCACCGTGTGGGTGGCTGTGTGTGACACAGCCCTAGTGTGGACAGCACCGTGTGGGTGGCTATGTGTGACACAGCCCTAGCGGGGACAGCACCATATGGGTGGCTGTGTGTGACACAGCCCTAGTGGGGACAGCACCGTGTGGGTGGCGGTGTGTGACACAGCCCTAGCGGGGACAGCACCGTGTGGGTGGCTGTGTGTGACACAGCCCTAGTGGGGACATCACCGCGTGTGTGGCTGTGTGTGGCTGTGTGTGACACAGCCCTAGCGTGGACAGCACCGTGTGGGTGGCTGTGTGTGACGCCAGTCCTAGCGGGGCTTGGCGAGCACAGGGATAGTGCGGGCACCACGCACAGCGTGTGGCGGGAGCTCCCCCGAGGGAGAGGGGATGAGCGTCAGCCCAGGGTCAGGGTTGCCCCGGGCATGGCACTCTGGTTAACCCAGTAGACACATGATTCGGAATGTTCATACAGGGGGCCCCAGGTGGGGGGACTCGGGGGTGATCACGTGTCCGGAGAGGGGTCTTGAGAAGGATCGAGAGGGAACGAGAATGTTCGGGAAGGCGGGCGGGGCCAAGGGCGGAGCGGCCCCGACTGGAGAGGGATATAAGGCGGGTCCTTGAGAGGGACCGGGGTCGCTGCATTCTACAAGCTGGAAGCTCTACGTCTCGAGCTGAAGCTCTATAACTACGAGCTGGAAGCTCAACATCTACAAGCTGGAAGCTCTACATCTACAAGCTGGAAGCTCAACATCTACAAGCGGAAAGCTCTATGTCTCGAGCTGAAGCTCTATAACTACAAGCTGGAAGCTCAACATCTACAAGCTGGAAGCTCAACATCTACAAACGGGAAGCTCTATGTCTCAAGGTGGAAGCTCAACATCTACAAGCGGGAAGCTCAACATCTACAAGCAGGAAGCTCAACATCTACAAGCGGGAAGCTCAACATCTACAAGCGGGAAGCTCTACGTCTCAAGCTGAAGCTCTCCGTCTTACGAGGCAACCACGTGGTCGGAGACCAGAGTGAGGGATCGACCCTTCGTAGCAGTAACTCGCTGCAGTCTGGCAGAGGGGGAGTTACTACCCCTTTGTGTTACGGTGTTACAAATAAAAGTGTTGCCTCTAAAAGGAACAACGTCTGCGACTCAGTTGGACCCACGACAGATATACAAACTCCACAGTAACAACACTACGATATTTGTCATATCAGTGGTGTACCAACTCCACAGTAATCACACTACGATATTTGTCATATCAGTGGTGTACCAACTCCACAGTAATCACACTACGATATTTGTCATATCAGCGAGTGTACCAACCAACTCCACAGTAATCACACTACAATATGTTTCACATCAGTGTGTACTAACTCCACAGTAACAACACTACGATATTTGTCATATCAGTGGTGTACTAACTTTACAGTAATCACACTACGATATGTATCATATCAGTGGTGTGCTAACTCCACATTAATCATACTACAATATTTGTCATATCAGTTGGTGTACGAACTCCGTAGTAATAACACTACGATTCATATTCTTAGGTTTTTTTCGGTAAAGTCACGTAGGTAAACATTAAAATTAATAAAAGTAAAATAAAATAAAAATCACGACGTTTCGGAGGCAACACAAGCTTCCGTCTTCTTAATTTTAATGTTTTACCTACGTGACTTTACCGAAAAAACCTAAGAATATGAATCCTTGCAGTCACGAAAGCTTCAAATCTAGAACTACGATACATGTCATATCAATGGTCTACTAACTCCACAGTAATCACACTACGGTATGTCGTATCAGTGGTGTACCAACTCCACAGTAATCACGAACCCGGCGATCCGAGTTCGATTCCCGTTCACGGGTCACCAACACCGGGGATGATTATCTGAACCCGTCCTGGGCCTCTCCCCTAGGTCGACTCGGTGTGCAACATCATTGCCACTGGGGAGACAAAGGCGGACGGGCGCGGTTGCTGGCCGTGGCGGCCTTCATAGGTGGCTTCTCGCTACCAGCACTTGCCCAAACAGTCTGTTAAGGCCACACGAGGGATCTCCGCATTTATTTTTTGGAGTAACGACATTGGCAGCTCAAGGAGTGCCGGCAATCGGTCAGGTGGGGCACCAATATTTGATTTGTTTCTTTGCACGGTCGCACCCTCGAGGCTATTAAATATCGCGGCTCCTCTTTGCCCGAATTGCAATCATTACGCTCACCATTTCGAATATTTACCGCTGTCGGGGCGGCTCCCTATTCGCAAAATCCCACCACTACAGCTCCGTAGTACAGTCACCGCCTTGCAATCACGTTCCTGCTCTAATTAAAGTAAAATAAAACGTGAAACGTTAAAGTAAAAAGTGTGTTAATTAAAAATCAAGCCGCGTTTTAAATAAGTGCTTGCTCTTTGACGTCTTCAAACTAAGCCGGATGTGTTACATCTGACACCGTGACGTCGAAGCACGAGGCGCCCCCCCAAAGCGCAGGGCCCGGGGCAGTCGCCTCGATTCGCCATACCCGAGGGACGGCTCTGTCCAGGCCACTTCTTCCCCCATACCACGCGAGTGTAATTGAGATTTGACCATGCCCGCAATTCGCCCTCACTTGCTCATACCGATGATGTTGTTGATGGCGCTATTGTGTACAAACTTGGTTGTCCGAGTTCGATTCCCGCTCACGGCCAACACCAGTGACGATTATCTGAATCGGTACCTGGGCCTCCCCTAGGTCAACTCAGCCTCAAATGAGTACCTGGTGAGATGTGTAAACATTGCCACTGGGGAGATGTGGTCTGGCGTGATGCTGGCCACCCCACCCCCTTGTGTGCAGTGCCGGCCTTCTTAAGTGCTCGCTAACAGGACTTGCCCAACAGTCTGTTAAAGCTATACAGGGTTCTTTGATTGTCTTTGGTGCCACTTTGAAAGTTAACATTCTCACACACACACCCACAAAACGCTTGCTCAGTGCATTTTACTAGAACAAAGTTTATTATTCACATTTAATGACATTTACAAAACGTTTTTTTCTTTCTAAACGGCCTCTCATCGTTGTGTTAACACTTTCATAACTGTAGCAGATGCAACTGTATCCGGACTGTTTTAAATACATCAAAAATGTAGAAAAAATAAGAGTAGGGTAAGTATGAACTGCCTATGACCAAATTATCAGGAATGTGTCCGATCTCGGCAGCAAAGCTGATTTCAGCCTGGACAACGCTTTTGACGGGCGGCCACCATGCAAGTCAGGTTTGTTATAGGATGCTGCGTCGCTACACGGTGGTCAACAGCAAAGTTGGAGCAAAAATAATCGTTCGACTGTACTTTCTATGCGCCCCACGTATATGAACCTATCACGGGTATGAACCTACCACCACAGACCTGCACAGACCAGTGCGGTGAAAGTATGGTCAAATAACCCCCACGGCCCACTCGGTGTGGGCAGAGTGTGGGCAGGGTGTGGTGAGGGTGTGGGCAGACTCTCCTTCAGTAGTGGATTGACTCGAGGACAGGCAGGGCTTCGTGTCAGCTGGGTCTGTGCTGGTCTGGTAGTATCCACTGCAAAGGCTGTGGATACTAATAGTAGTCACTTGCTATCTACTCCAGTCTACAGGCCACCCAGAAAATATTTAAGTGAGAAATGAAACCCTGAGGAAAGGCTTAACCTGGCACATGCCTGGGTGCCCAGTGAACGATTATGACCCTGTCAAAGGTGGAGCCATTGGTCATCAAAATGCTTAACATTAATGCACCCTATTTGTTATTGTAGTTGTAGTTGAAATATGGTGTGTAACTGGGATAGGGACTCGCAATATTACGTGGGCCACGTGGACTAGCCAAGGTTGTGTTTTGCATAGACCAATCATTTGCTATTTTTAACGTGTGTTTTCATTGGCTAGAGAACTCTCCACCGCCACTTCTACACCATTGCAAGTCGCCATACAGTTGCCAAATCTGTTGATGATGTTTTGGGGCAACGATTACCCTAAAACATCTCCAATGTTTCATGGTGTATAGACACAGCGGGTGCTTGCGCTAACTATCGACACGGCGTGCGGTGATGACGGTGAAGGGGGCGGCGGTAGGTTTGGCGACTCAGAATTCATCCAGCAGATCCATGATCCTCTTTTGCTCGGCCTGCCGGAAGTCTTCGCTCTTGGCATCACCCAGGCTCTCTGTGTACTCTGTGAGACAAGGGCAAAAAGATGTAAGCCAATTACAGCTGGACCCGGGGGCCCCATCAGTGTAAATTTTTGTTCATGAAATTATGAAAATATTCGTGTTTTTTTATGTTAGTCAACAATGTCTGTAAGGTGACAAAAGTCAACTGGCATAACGATGACCACCCACCAAAACCGATCAAGCATGACTATATTACACTGACTAAGATAATTTCGGTGCGTTATTAAGAGAATGCAGTGTACTTAAGAAAACTACGAATGGTAATTGCATAGATGTTATGTTTAAACATTTCTTTACGAAGTTTTCTGATTTGCTTGCCTGATATTGGGGTAGGAAACATTTCTCACACCCGCAAATCAACATTCAATGACTAAGATTGGCTTAAACATGACTGCTGTAGTCATCTGGACTATGAGTGACTGAATTAATCCACAGACTAACTTAAAAAAACCCGAAAACTATTAACTATTTTTATTTTACCAAGGCCCACTGAGCTATATAGCTCTTTTTCGGAAGCGACGTGGACATCACAAATGATAGCGCAACGAAGTGGCTTATTACGTGGACATTTATAACAGCCAAATAATTTAAACGCGTGATGCTGATTCTAAATGTGGAGGGAATAACTGGAGGACCCGGAGAAAAATTCACTCGACCAAGGGGAGAACACGCAAACTCGTAGCGGCTTTTGGCTGGCCATCGAACAAAGCCGGTCACCGCATCGTGCGCTTTCAGATGCACTTCTGCGGCCGTCTGGAACGCTCTTCCTTCTGATATTAGGAAGCCACTAGAGCAGGAGTCGGCAACCGGAGCCGCACGCGGCTCTTTAAGGACTGCCGCTTCGTGACGTTATTCACATGCATTGTGGCTCTTAACATGGAGTTTTTTTGAAATTGAATTTGCACAAAAATGGCTCTTCTTGTTAATTTCGTCGTCGACCCCTGCACTAGAGCTATGCACTTTTTTATTTAGAGTGAAAACTCATTTCTTTAAAACTGCTTTAATGTTTAGTTTGTTGTCCTTCCCCCTCCGCACCTCCGATTAGCACGGTTGGCTACGTACGGTCGAAAGAAGTTCAACATGCATGCATACATACATCGGCACATACAACAGTCACCATGAGTTGCAGCCCTGTCGGGTGTTGGGAACGTGTGTGATTGTGAACGAGCTGTGGCCACGAACCTCGGATGATGTGACGCACCACCTTCATGGAGCCACCGCGCAGGTTCAAGATCTGGTTGACTCGCTGCCGGATCTACGCACGCACGTACACACGCACGCGATCGCCAGCATCATGCCAAGTCAAGCAGTGGATTGAGAACGATGTAAATAATTATTCATATTTCTTGGGAGGAAAAACTGGAACACCGATATGCCAATAGTTCTGCATGTTAACTGCATGAACCAAACTCTGAAATGTACTCACTTTAAAACAACGATATTTTGAAATCACCACCATGACTTTGCCTGATTAGACTTTCATTTAACTGAGGATGCGCATGTTACATTTAGATATGTTAGAACTAATCCCTGGTACCGACACGGTATGAGGAAGGCCTTCATCCAAAAGTGGATTTACATACCGGTTAGCACATAATCGTGGACGTAATAATAAAAGTTATTGATTCTTACATGCACAATCAGACGTATGCGTTCCGCGAGCGGGATAATTTACTTGAATCTCTGCATTGTTACATGCCTCATGATGAATACCAACGTTAGACAATGGGAATCACCCGCCAGTGTGTACAGGTGAGTATTCATTATTACACCCCACAAGGGGAAAGCTGCCGGTGTGTGAAGGTTATCACACTGGCGAGCACACCGGACCTGCGATCCAGAGGTCACTGGTTTGGTTTGAACTCCTGGAGCGGCGGTTGAAAATATTTCGCTTATTTAGCTGCTATACATTTCCACACGACAAGCCACTATGTTGAGCTGTAATTTGTGGCCAGGTCGCTTCTGAAAAATAAGTGAAAATGCCTCAGAGGACTTTGCCTGGTAGGATGGGGATGGTTTAGTTTTATTTGTATGTGTTTGGGTGATTTGTTTACCTTTCTTGTACTTTGCACTGCTATCGTGTTTTTCTACTGTTTGTTGTTCTAACGTTCTTATTCGTGCACACCACAGTTAGTCGGTCGGTCAAAGACGTCTGGCTAGCGTGGAAGAGTAGGCCAACGTTCCCTCCAGAAGAGCTCTCCCGAGTGGAGGGCCCTTCCACCAGGAGTGGTGGCCAGCCAACAACCGCACGGCCACACCTTCGCCGTCGCTCCGCACACGGCCACGCGCTGCCGCGTGGCACGGTGGTAGCCGTGCTGGCGTTTCGTCGCACCTGCGCCACGCCGGACGTGGAGATCTCCAGCATGACGTAGTCCACCAGCTGCAGCACGAAAAGCCCGGCGTCTAGCCGGCGCAGGTAGAAGTCGTCCTGCGCCTCGTCGTCGATAATCTCACCCCTCCGCACCATCTCCTGCACCACAACCGCCGCCACATCGTTCAACGCAGCCCACCGTCGTCAATTTGCGTAGTCCACTCATTTGTACGCTCAACACAGCCACTGGCTATTCATTGCGTTGTTCGTTAATTTGTAGGTTCAATGTGCTTGCGCAAGACCATTACCGTTGCGTATTTCTGTGCGACAAGTGCGGTCACTCGTGTGTACGTTTCACCGCGTCACTCACGTGCTTCTCTCCTTCGATCTTCTTGTCGGCAGCGGAAACTGTCTCCAGGTACTTGAAGTGCAGCTCCATCAGCCGGTCCACCTGGCAACCGACAAACATTAACCAAGAGAGGTGAGCGGGTGACTTGGAGGCCCGGGCAGCTACTCATGAGTAAACTCAAATGAGTGACTAGTTTCTTATTTTACCAGGTAAGGCCCACTGAGCTATATGGCTCTCTTTCAAGAGCGACCTGGCCACAAATGATAGCTCAACAAAGTGGCTTATCACGTGGACATTTATCGCAGCCAAGTTCTAAACAGTGTTCTCAAGCGCACGAGTTGATAAGTCTCAGTCCCCTCACAAACGATTGCAATAAGAAACATCGTTTGGTATTGGACTCGATTCGGATAGATTCCGGCTCTGAGATACAAAAAAAATAACATGTTTGACCGTCGGGCAACAAACAATATCACAGCAGAGGTTGAGGGGAAAGTACGCCCCCTACCTCCTGTGTGGGACGAGCGCCACTCTAAAGCACTTCTGCTGACCATTCACTGACAAATGGGGCGCAACGCTCTGTATAACTTAGCAATGTATCCTTCGTCTGATGACGCTGATAGAATTGGAATCATGTGGGGCGGGGGGAAGACAAGTACAGAATATAATCGATTATCACCATACAGAATATCATCGATTATCACCATACAGTCGATCATCGATTGATTATCGAGCGGATTTGGGGGGGAGGGAGGGGACGCCAGATTTTAAAAAACGCCAAATAATCACTACCTGACATTATTTAAAATAGTTTATTTTTGTACATTCTTGTCTGACATGTGTTTAGGTGATTGTCATGTGTTTTTTTGTGTTTTACATTTCTTTACTAAATGAAATTAGGATAAACATACAATTAGAAAATAATTAAGATCCTACTTTAAAAAGTTACCGTATTTACTTTACCGTACTTACTACTCCAATCTCGAAGACTCTGCATGGGGTGATGTAAACATTATTTTCATTGTTTAAGTTGTCTGTCGTGTATAATGTACTGTATATAATCTTTAACACTGAAATCAAGCATCACTACTTTTCTTTGTCATGCACACGGTGCCAATCGCTGGACTGGTTACAGCCTTTGGAGCGGTTTTACCGGTTTGGCCGGATTGGCCCGGAGCAGCCAAATAATGTTGGAAGCAACTGTTGGAAGCAACCGTATTATCATGGCGTGGTGCCGGATAATCGATGATCAACTGTGATGATCCACTGAGCGAGTCGGAACGAGCGGCCACACCTTCTCACAGTCGGTCTCCACAAACTTGTTGATGAGCCGTGTGCGCTGCTGCCCCTTGAGGTTCCTCAGCATGGAGGAGATGATGGAACACACGTGCTCTGCGGGGACACGGGGACGTCACAGGCGGCAGTGGGGAACACGCCAAGAGATTCGCGGTCCACCCACAAACACGCCGCTCCTGCGTGTGGTTATGTACAGCGGAACACGTTAAAAGGTCGCGCTCATTAAACACCACAAATGAACCGAAATACCTCACTGATCTCGTCAAGGAGCATAAACCATCATCACGCAAACTCCGGTCATCCTCACAGCAGAGGCTTTTAGCTGGCCATCGAACAAAAAGTCATCGCACGCTATCAGATGCGCTTCTGTGGCCGTTTGGAATTCTATTACTTCCGATATCGGGATGCCACAGGAGCTATGCACTTTTATATCTAGAATGACAACTAATTTCTTTAGAAGCACATTGTCCTTCCCTCTGCACCCCCGATTAGGATAGTTGGCTACATACGGTGCGAAAGAAGTTCAACATACTTATGCATTGTTGAACTGGCCGCCCCAGGGCAAAACCTGGCCCACAGTGGTTCACTGAGACATTTTTATTTTCCTTATTAAAATAATTTACCTGGAAAATCCCTTGAGATGGAACATCTCATTTGCAAGGGTGAGAGATGAGTGATAAACAAAAGAGATGAAAGAGCTGTATGCAAGAGATGAGGATAAGTGAAAATTACAGCGAGATACACGACAGGGATGTGACTGCTGGAGACAAGACGTTAGGATTAGTGGTAACGTGTGCATACAATGACATCACATGACAGGCCCAGGATGTGATGTGACGTGGCCCATCAGTACCTGCTCATTTTAGTGTGGTCCGTCGGAGGATACAATTCAAGTGCAGCTCGATAGAGACGCAGCCGAGTGTTTACCTTTAAAAATAACTTCATTTGAAAAAGAGGGAAAATCTGCGGAAGCGGGAGCAGCCCGTGGTAACTGTTCCTGTTAGTGGAACCAAAACGAGTACTCACGGGCACTTCCACAGATTTCTAAATTCTCCACAGCCAACCAGCGCAAGGAATCTATTCCTCGCACCTCCGAGTCGTCCTCTCTCTTCGAGAGGGAATAGTGCGAGGCGCGTTTGAACTCTAAATTGTTATCAAGTCTCTTTACACACGAGTGCAATGATCTATTACCAGGTAAGGCCTACTGAGCTGTGTAGCTCTTTTTCTGAAGCGACATGGCTATCATAAATGATGGCTCAACGAAGCGTATTATCGTCGCATGGAAATTTATCGTGGCCAAAATGGCCTAGGGCGGCCTTACCCTCGTGCTCCTTCTCGGACATGCCGGCCTTCTTGGCCCTGCCGGGCGTCTTCATGAAGAGGGGGAAGATGCTGCGCAGGCCCAGGATGTCCACAAACTTGTGGCAGTTGTCGGCGCCGTCCGGCCCCACCATGGCGTGGTCCAGCACCTTGAGGGCGCTGTTGCGGGAGCGCTTCTTCTCCCTGCCGGCGCAAGCGCGCCAACACGCACGCACGCACGCACATACCCCACTCCCCCGTCACGCTTGCCCCCAAACCGTCGTCACGGATTCATTTTAACTTTCCGACTCAAGTTGAAAGCGTCGGTGCATGAGCTCCGTGTGCCTGTTTAATACGTTCTCGTAAAGACGGTAGGATAAGAATATTAACTTGAATGCTAAAGGTTTTTGTTGCTGTTAGGGACTTTCCGTATAAAAAAACAGGCCACATTTATCAACCGGCCACAGAAGCACCGATAAAACCCGGTGATAAATGGACAAGCCTCTTTGGCCAAGGTGATGAGGTCACAAGCAACCTGCACGCCTCGCCTCCGCGTTATGTCATTACTTGAGATTCATGAAACCTTTCCCAAAGAATACACAATAGTTATCAAGATCGGACTTAATGTACTGAATCGTCGCTGTGATCATCAATCATTCGTGACACGCGCAAATCTAACGGCGCGTGTGTATGTGCGCGTGCGTGGATCAAGAGGTCCGGGTGAGCGCAACTCGTTGCTCACCGCAGCATGAGGTTCATGAGCTGCAGGCCCTCCCCGCGCAGGAAGCGCTCGCGGTTCGACGCCAGCATGAGGCACGAGCAGAGGCAGTCAAAGAGGTTCTCCATCATCTCCCCCTCCTCCCCACTCGCCGGGTCGTGACGCTTGAACACCTGCGTGTGGCCAACGGGAACGCCGTCGGTACGGGTTTTAAAATAAGGAGGGGGTGCTTGTATGTACGTAAGTATGTTGAACTTCTTTCGCAACGTACGTAGCCAACCGTATTAAATCGGAGGTGCGGGGGGAATGAATGTCACTGCACAAACAAGTGTTATAGGCTGTGAGGCTACATGGAAGGCAGCAGAGGCCTTTGCAGGGAAATCCCTCGCTGAACCAAACTTCACCAATCCACACTGACCGGCATGGGGCAGAACGGTAAAACAACCCCCACGACCCCCATGGCCTTTTTGGAGGCCCTCATCCAGCAGTAGATTGAGAGAAGAGGCTCCCCGCATGTACGTAGCACACTTACCGAGAGCTGCTGTAGAAGCACGTCGATTCCTTCCATCTCTCCCAGGAGTTCTCTGTTAGCTGCATCACGCAAACACACACGGACCTTTATTATGAACACTATTAGTCGCAAACAGAAGCAGACAAGGGAGGTAATTTGGTAAGGCTCACATGTTCATCATCATACCATGGTCACCATCATCACCACCAAGTTGTGGCCTTTACAGATGCATTTCGTTTTCATCAAAACTATGTTTAGTTTGTTGTCCTTCCCCTGCACCTCAACATACATATGAAGCCATCGTCACCAATGCAGTCTTTACAATTTACACAGTCCCTTTAAAGCCCAGAGCAGGCGCAACGATTCCCCTTTTCCACTTGCACATCCGAGTCAGGCCAGCGTGAGGGCCCCTCACAGTACACGTGGTATTCTGCCAGCTCTTTGTCGTGACAAGCTGGAACCAAACCGCAATACGCTGGCATCACGAGACACTGGTTCGGGGGCCAAGCAGGGCCAGGGGGGGGGGCGGGGTTAACTGTGCTTTCTGGCACCTCGCGAGCCGTGAGGGGGGGGCCCGCTTGGCACAGGTTTTGTGGGGGGGGGGGTAACGGCTTGGCACGGGCCTCGGGGGGGGAGGGCCGGCTTCGCACAGGCCTCGGGGGGGGGGGGGGGGGGAGCCGGCTTAGCATGGGCCCTGGGGCGGGGCAGCTTGGCACGGACCCTGGTGCAGCTCAGTTCTACAGTGTAAAAGAGGAAATGTGCGTCTCAGCAACAGCAAGCTGGGGGAGGGCGATGTTGTGGGGGGTGTGGACACCTCACCGTCATTGTTCTGCAGGAGGATTGAGAGGATTTCGCTGCAGTACAGCTTGTTCGCGTCAAAGGGCATCTTGGCCTGCGATCCGCAGCAAAGGGACAACGATGATGACACCTCAACAAAACCTCTTGACAAATTGCAGGCACGGTTTGTGTGTAGAATTTCTTTCACACCGTACGTAGCCAACCGCGCAAATCGGGAGGTGTGGTGGAGTGGTGGTGCATGCCTATGACCCAGCACTCTTGAGGTGAGGGTTAGTGGATCGGGCAGAGAGATGTGTGAAACTCCCAGATCCGCGCTTCGAGAGATCTTGCCGTAGATTATGAGGATTGTGATGTGGTTGTAAGGAGTGAGATGCAAGTATATGGAGAGCAGTGTGGTGATGAGCAACTAGAAGCAGGTACTCTAGTCCCTCGGTTAACAGTGACATCGGTTAACGTTTTTTTCGGTGAATGTTTCGCCTCCCATAGGACCCCATTTTTCGACCAACATTAAATTTTTGACTAACGGTACGTTTACGTTCGGAACGCGAGGCGCCAATTTCGGCCAACCCGAGCGATCTTAAGTGGAGCTGAGGCATGCCCTCAGCCAATCAGTGACCCCCATTTATAAGCGTTTAGACCTCGACTGGCTTTGTTTACATGTTTTCCCTTTCTTATGTTTATTAACATTGTTTAAATGTAATAAACTATGTTTTTAGGGTAAAAAAGGTCAACTTCCGATCATCTTCAATCGGTTGAATGCTATTAACGTGTAGTTAATATATTGGATTAACAGTTATTTCGGTTAACAGTAGTTTTTGTGGAACGGATTAAAAAGGTTAACCGAGAGGCTACTATATGATTATTATGGTTACGCTTGTTTACCCAGGAAAGCCTCGCCGAGTCTAAAGTCTTTTACAAGAGGCTCCTGCCAAGTTTTCACAGTAGGGGGCGATGGTGCAATGTGAAATCCCAGTTGAGTAATTTGTACGAATGAACGTGACGGCCGTACGGTTGTCAAGGAGCATAAACCGTCGCACCAACTCCGGTCATCCTCGCAGCAGCAGCAGCTTTTGGCTAACCATCAAACAAAGACGGCCACCGCATTGCGCGCTTCCTTCCAATATTAAGAAGCCACTGGAGCGATGCACTTTTAAATCATCTACATTTAAAACTCATTTCTTTAGGAACTGCCTTTTGTGTTTAGTTTGTTGTACTTCCCCACCCCGCACCTCCGATTAGTACGGTTGGCTACGTACGGTGCGAATGAAGTTGTATATACGTGTGTGAGGATCGAGGTACAGACATGAGGAACGGCGAACTGCGTCTCACCCGTATCCGCTTGAGCAGCCACTGCATGAGGCCCTGCCGCGCGGCCTCCGTGCTCATCTCTGGCCGGAACTCCGTCAGGTTCTCGATGATCGCTGTAACGCCACACGAGGGGGTTCACAGGTGAGCTATCCGTGCGAGGCTCACGTGCGAGACTGTACCGTTGTGGGGCTGTCAGGTGTGAGCGTCCTACCTGTGCGAGAGGCGAGTGTATGACATCGCCTTTCTCTTCGCGGCTCTGCAGTGAATGTTGTAAGTTTCTGTGGGTGAGGTGTGAGCTTCGTGCTAGTGGGAGTCGAGAGGAAGGTGCGATGGTTCTAGCTCAGGCGTCGGCAACCTGCGGCTCCGGAGGCGCATGCGGCTCTTTAAGGACTGCTTCGTGACGTCAGTTATTAAGGACCACCGTCTCGTATTCACATGCATGGCGGCTCTTGAAATATTGAGTTTTCTTTACTAAATTCCCCAAAAATGGCTGCTATTTTGGTTGTCGACTTGTTCGAGCTGTATGGAAACCAGGCGTGAAGTTCCTACCGGGACAGCAGGAGCAGGGAACCTGTGGCCTGTGGACCACTTACATACGGCCCACAACTTAATATCCAATGACATGTGGTAGCCACACGAGGCCTTACCGCTTCAAAAAGGCCGGTAAATGATATTTATGTCACCGCATGCTTCTTGACCGCCTTAATCGGGTATTATTTCTGACCTGGCTGCAAAAATGGTTTCCAATTTTCGCACTCAACCACTCCTGTCACTGGAAGGGCCTCTACACTCGGTCGCAACGCATGTCGTTATTTTTCGCGTGATTACAGACTAACACTAACCTCTAGTGATAATGTGGTTGTTGCCCAGAATATCAATTTTGAAGGTCCTATTCGGCCCAAACAAAAGTGGTTCTTCCCCACCCTTGCTGTGCAAGGTCAGGATTGAGGATCGTAGCTGCAATGGGGGCTTTAGATGCAAGGGTCTCCCCTTTTTGGCGATCATCAGTGGGGCTCGTTACAGCTATACACCTGCTTGGGGATCATCAGTAGGTGCTCATTACAGCAGCATTAAAGCGACACTCCACTGCTCCTGCCTGGCGCGGTTATCATCTGGGCTTGACCACCTGAATGTGAAAATTAAGTTGTTGCTCTGCATCTACATCAGCAACCATACGACAGAAGATTTGGGGCTCACACGTGCCGTGATTTGATCTCGTGCGGTTGAAGCGAGGAGACTCACCGAGCGTGTTGTGAACGCCGACTGCCTCCTCCTTGGTCGCCTCGTCGAGTCGCTCCAGGTTCTGCACCAGCAGCGCCACCACCTGCTCGTTGAGCTGCAGGAAGAGTGCGCGGATGGCGAGCGCAATGTATGTACGTTGAACTTTTTTCGCACCCGTACGTAGCCAACCACGCTAGTCGGAGGTGCGGGGGCAACAAACTAAACACAAGAGGCAGTTATAAAGAAATTCGTTTTCAATCAGCCACCGGTCGCTGCCGTTGACGGCGCAATATAATTTTTCTTGTCACCATACGACGCAAAAGAAACGTTCGCGATACGACAAATATGGCGATATCAGTTTCCCACAGCTCTGCGATTAGAGCTAACAACACAACACGCAAAGGCGTGCTGTTCGCAATGGAAGGCACAATGGCAGTTGTGCCTTCCCGCTGTTTGTGAGCACGTTAGTACACCAATTTGTTTACAGCTTGCAAGACGCATTCGCCTGTTGCGATAGGGGTTTCTCATCACAAACAGGGAGAGCGTTTCGTTTTTTATTGCGATGTGCTTCGCTCTCCTTCCAGCACGGATAAAGATGACGGCGTGGTGTGTGCGAGCGTCCATCAGTCCAGCGTAAGAGTGCGGCATCAGAACCCGCGCAAGAACCCCGGTGTTGGTCACTGCTCGGGAGACGAGCATGCGTCTGCTGCTTAATTCTCCGAGCATTTCGATATTCGTCGCAACTTTCAGGAACCCATCCTCGACATAAAGCGGGGTATTATTGTGCCACCTAAGGTGGCAAAACTTTAGTGGTACCAATTATATCAAATCTAGATTTAATTATAAAGCTAATAAGAGTAAAGTATTTGATAAAGCCACTCACATGCAATGGTTAGCAAAGAATTCACTGTTACTGCCCATTTAAATAAAATTAAATCACTGAGGTCCTTCCACCGCAGAAGGCACCAACAAGTCAGAATCAGAATCTTTATTTATCCTGGAGAAATCTGATGAGCTGTGAAACTCTTTTTCACAGATGTCCAGGAGGGGCAGGTCAAGAGAGTTACAACTATAACAAAAACGATAAGAGTGCAAAGTATAGGAAAGGTAAGCAAATCACTATGAATAAATAAACCAAAACTAAACTTTTATCTTACTGGGTAAAGCCCACTGAGCTATTCGTTATTTTTCAGAAGCGACCTGGCCACAAACGATAACTCTACGAAGTGGCTTATCATCACGTGGACATTTATCAGCAACCAAAAATTCTAGACGTGTGTTGATTCTAAATGCGCAAAGGAAAAAACCAGAGGCAGGTCAAGAAGTTACAACAAAACTAAACGCTTGGTTTGTATCTCGGCGACCGACAGCGAACACGGCACGGCGCGAGTGCTTACGAGCGCATCGGTCAGCGTCCGCGCGCCCTCCTGGCTCTCATGCAGCGTGTCCACGTCCGTGAGCTCCTGCAGGAGGTCTACCACCTCGATGGCGATATGTACCCCGGGGGTCAAGGACTCCAACCACGCACGTGCGAAAGACTGGAAAGAACGCAACTGGTGTTTCGGCCAAAACATCCCAGAGATGGAGAATTACCTACAAATTACTCAACTGGGATTTAACATTGCAGCATCGCCCCCGACTGTGATAACTTGGCAGGAGCCTCCTGTAAAAGACTTAGGACTCGGCGAGGCTTTCCTAGGTAAACAAGCGTAACACAATAATAATAACTACTTCTGGCTCATCATCATCACACTCCTCTCCGTATACTCGCATCTCACTCAAACAACAGCATTCACAATCCTCATAACATACGGCAGGATCTCCTTCAGCGTGAGTCTGGGAGTTTCACACATCTCTCTGCCCGATCCACTAACCCTCACCACAAGAGTGCTGGGTAACACTTTCATCAATCCACTGCTGGATGAGGGACTCCACGTGCCATGCGAGTTTATCTGAGCATTGACCTCAAATTGTAAATGTTCTTGGTTTACTCGACAACACACCGGAGTGCTGAACTAGTAACTAATTGGCACATTTTACGTGACAAATGTAATTAATTGGCTGTGTCGGGTGGTGGCGGGTTAACGACACATTTATATTTAAGCAATCTAACCCAAAAAAAAACCATTAATGGGTTTATCAGTCCCACATCATGGATGGACATCATGGATGTGGGACCATAGATATACAATAGGTACTACTGCCCATATCGTATAGTCGTACGACAAACATACGAGACGGATAATCAACTGACAAAGTACTCCTCCCCTCTCCATCATCACCTCCTCCCTCTCTCTTCTCTCCTCTTTTCGTCTTCGTTCACTCTCTACCTGCTCCTCTCCCATCTCCTCCACTTGTCTCTTCTACTCTTAACCTGAAATATCGTTTTTTCGTAACCAACACAATGATCCACGTTTGTTCTTGGGTTAGGCCCCGCAGTAGTTTTATGCCAAAATCCTTGCCATTATCCCTGCGCCACCCGATAATATTGTCACATTTACACAGATATTACACTGTACATCGTGCATTGATCAAATTCTGACTAAGAAGGCTCCTTCCTCATCAGCGGCTTATGGTGCTTTTCACAACTGAAGTCAACATCAACAAAGGATGCTTCGCTCAATTAGGTGGGTAGTGTGCTTAGATACGGAGTGGTCTTCTGCCCATAATGTAGCACAGCCCTCGCTGACTCGTGGCTTTACATACAGCTACTACGAACTGACAAACATTCTTTCTTTCACACCATTGCAGACACGTATCGTGATTAGATTAAAGAAAAACAATTGCACATAAGGACCAGGATCATGCCCCTCTTCATTCTATTTTCCTAAAAAATATCTGACAACGTTTAGACAATGAATTTAAAATGTGGCTGGCTGCGGGCTAAAGCCTATTCTTATTTTTTTCATCATTTTGATCATGGAAAAAATGTCCCATAGATACAGGGTGATGTACAGATGAAAAAACACACGGATGTGAAAGGGTTAATGGATGGATCGTTACACCACCGATATTCATCACAGCCGCGTCGCTTCCGGCAGCACTGCGGGATTAATCACGGTCACCCGCAGTCGGGCCGCGAAGGATATCGGTGTTGTCGTGGCTGAGAAGGCCCAGGAGCGACGTCACCGAGTTGAGGTCGACGAGCAGAGGGTAGAGCTCTGGCATCGTGGCGATCACGTGCATCTCCTGGATGACGTCGTTCAGGTCCAACTCGGACTCCATGAACCTGCACGTTAATTCGGGTCGGGCGAGAATCAAACGTGTTACTCTGCTCCCTCGATTTCAGAGGCGCAATCGGCATCAGTGATACTGCCTTCAGAAAGTTAAGCATATTGCTAATAATAGAATATGATATAAACACAGACAAGCAAACGCACACAAGCGATAATGTTAAACTGGGGATGCCTCACTTCTCTGGGTTGTCGGGGAATTTTATTCTGAGCTCCTGATTCTTCAGTGTCGTCTTCTCGAAGTTCAATACCATCCTCTTCACGCCGTTATCATCCAATGACTGGCCCTGTCAAAGACAACGATGGCAATTATGAACTTTTGTGGAAAGTTCTGCGAAGCGAGAACATATTAATAATTTCCCGTTCCAAGACGTCTGCAAGTTGCAGGGTGGGTCCTGTTCACCGCTGAATCTCGGAACGCGAAGCATTGTTTTTTTCGAATAAAACATGTATTTGTAAATTCAATAAAAACTCAAACATGCGTACGAAAGGTATTTTTTGTCTGTTTAAGAGTAAGGAGCTTTCTACAAAAAAAATCTAATCAAAACGATAAGCTTGCTTATCACATTTCCCTTTGTAAGATTTTTTCTTAGGTAGACAATTACTTTATGAAATATATTTCGAGTACGAAATATGAAGACAATATCATATCGTACCGTACTGCAACCCATGGCCTCCTCCCACCAAGACAAAGATCCCCCGTATAGCCTTAACAGATTATAACAGCTGTTAGCGAGCATCACCAGCAGTGGGCGCCAACATCACCGCCAGCCATGCGAACCACTATGCTCAGTATCACAAGTGTCACTACCACGAAAACCTCTCGTATGGAACAAAATATGCTTTCAAAATTATCAAACATACCAATGCCAAACCCTCATAAATAAGGGGCCGAGGTGTTACATGTATTTTACTCAAGCATCTATTTTTCTGATGTGTTTTGCGTTTAGATGCACCTATTTTAAAAGCCGGATCTCCCTTGAACACGAGACCTGTGGTGTCAATGGGTTTTCACCTGGCTTAGCGAAAGGCAATTAAAGAACATTTCATGTCCTTTAGCCACATCGCTATGTGGATTATTAAACCTTCTCTCACCTTCCATCCCCACCTCTTCTCATCCACTGAGAGAGAAGTTGATGAGATCGAGGAACGTTTTTTATTTAGCAAATGCTTTTACACGTGACAATCGTACAGTTAGAGCGCCAGATACGCAAGAGAAATAAATATATTTGTCAGTGTTATATGTGAGTAGACGTCAGCCCGCGTAGCCACAGAGCATGTGACAGCCTCCCAGAGGTCGCAATCGGGTACCCGATACCCGTACCCTATCCGATACCCGGCTACCCGTACCCAGCCGGGTACGGGTAGCCGTTTGCGACCCTGGTGCGGCCGGGTACGGGTAGGCCGTGAGTCACTGGTGAGTAACCGTTTGTCACTCATTTCCCAACGTCTTGTCTCTTCTCACAATTCAAGTTCCTAGAATCAACCCACCCGCGCCTGCAACATGGCTTCATCCCAGAAGTCGCAATCGGGTACCCATACCCATACCCTACCCGATACCCGGCCGGGTACGGGTAGCCGGGTATCGGGTAGGGTACGGGTACCAATTTGCGACCCTGGTGCGGCCGGGTACGGGTACCCGTTTGCGATCCTGGTGCGGCCGGGTACGGGTACCAATTTGCGACCCTGGTGCGGCCGGGTACGGGTACCCGTTTGCGATCCTGGTGCGGCCGGGTACGGGTAAGGAATCAAAACCCGTTTGCGACCTCTGCAGCCTCCTCTTCCAGCACGTGCAGGGCAACAACAACCTGTCCGCCCGGTACGCCCCGACGGACTTCACAGCCGAAGACGATGTTCTCCAAGGTCTCCTGGCTCTCCGCAATCACATGGCAGGGCTGTTGCGTAGCACGCCCCATCGATTCTCGGAAGCGGCGCACACCCCTCCTTAGCCTGCATCGTCCTCACCTCGTCATCTTTGCTCATCATTTCCACCTGCTGCTGCTGGTCGGTGGGGGGCTCCGCACGGCCCCTGCCGGGCCCGTGCTTGCGTGGGGGGTGCGGCAGCTCCTCCTCGCTGTCATCCTCCTCGTCGAGAACGCGCTTAGGCCCCTTGTCGGGCTGCGGCGGGGCGAGGAAGAGGTGGCAGAGAAGCAGACGGGAAGAAGAGATGGAGCAGACGAGGGTGGACAGAGGAGCAGCACAGAATGATGGAGAACCAGAGGATGGTTGAGATATTATATATTGCAATGTGGATTTATACAGTTTCTAAATGTGACTGCATCTCAATCAGCTGTACAGAAATACTGGGCATATTTATTTTAAAGAGGTAGTCTTATGTCTGCATGTGAGTCTATGGGTCTCCCTAGGTCAATGGGTTTCTGCGCAAGTCTATGGGTCTCCATGTGAGTCTAGAAATATTTGGCAGTCTATTGGGTCTCAGAAAGTCTGTATGGGTCTCGGTGCGAGTCTGTAGGTCTCCATGTGACTATCGGTCTCTAAGCTAGTCTGTGGGTCTCTATTTCACTCTATGCGTTTCTATATAAGTCTGTGGGTCTTTGTGCGAGTCTTCGAGTTGCAGTGTGAGTCTATGAACTCTGTGCGAGTCGTTGAGTCTCCATGTGACTACGAGTTTGTGTATGCATGTGTGTCTCTGTGGGAGTTTATGGGTTGCAGTGTGTGGGTCTATGATCTATCTCTATGCTTGTCTGTGGGTCTGTGTGTGACTCTACGGGTGTCTGTGTGACTCTACGGGTCACTGTGTGTGATCTATCTTTATGCAAGTCTGAGTATCCATGTGACTGTCTCTATGAAAGTACTGAGATTGCATTTAACTATGGGTCTCTGTGTGAGCCTGTGGGTCTCTGTGCGAGTCTACGGGTTGGAGTGTGTGAGTCTATGATCTATTTCTATGCGAGTATGTGGGTCTCTATGCAAGTCAATGAGCCTCTATGTGACTATCGGTCTCTATGCAAGTCTGTGGGTCTCCATGTGACTCCATGGGTCTCTGTGCGAGTCCGTGGGTCTATGTGACTCTACGGGTCTCTGTGCGAGTCCGTGGGTCTATGTGACTCTACGGGTCTCTGTGCGAGTCTACGGGTCGCAGTGTGTGAGTCTATGATCTATCTCTACGCGAGTCTGTGGGTCTCTATGCAAGTCAATGAGCCTCCATGTGACTATGGGTCTCTGTGTGACTCTACGTGTCTCTATGCAACTCTACGAGTCTCCGTGTGACTCTATGGGTCCCTGCGCGGCTCCACGTGTCGCAGTGTGCGAGTCTACGATCTATCGCTACGCGAGATTGTGCGTCTCTGTGTGACTCCACGTGTCTCTATGCAACTCTACGAGTTTCTCTGCAACTCTACGAGTCTCCGTGTGACTCTACGGGTCTCTGTGCGAGTCCGTGAACCCTAAGAATTGCGTGGCTCTGGCATCGCGGCCCAGGCCGCGCGCGCCACCCTCGCTCCGTTCCGCCCCGGGACGCGGAGGCGCCTCGGCCGATGCCCTCGGGGGCAACGGCAGCGACTGAGAAGAGGGCGCCGGGAGATGCCCCTGAAGGTGGAGACTTTGAGTCCTGAACTTTAAACGACGACGACGACGCAACTTGAAAGTGCGCAGCCAATTCACCTGGAACTTCAGCAGCTCGGCGACATCCATTGCAGCGGGGCGCGATGTGACGTCATGTCACTCTGTAGCGTCGTCGTCTCCCCCCCTCCGTCGCAAACGCGCGCTTGACGTCACGTCATCGAGAACGCGACGCGCAGGCTTGCGTGAGATGACGTCATCGCGAAAGCGGCGGGTTTGCGTACGATGACGTCGTAGCGATGAATTTCGATTTAAAGCGTTCTTCACCTGAAGACGGCTGCTTGCGTTGTAGCCGAAACGTCGTGAGAATAATTAAATTTTATTATGTTTTATTTTTATTATTTTATTACTTCCCTTCTACGTGACTTTACCGAAAGAACCAAGAAGATGTGGTAGCGATGGTTGACAAGTTGGGTGAGCCGGCTGGTGTGCCCATTTCCAAGCTGGTCATTAGGGACCGTCCATAAATGACGTCACGCGATTTTGGACGATTTTTGACCCATCCCCCCCTTTGTCAAACGGCGTCACAAAAGTCAGACCCCCCCTCAAATATGACGTCACAAAGCTCTGCCCCCCCCCCCCCACAAAAAAATAAAACATGCTTCTTTAAACTATTGTCATTGTAGTGCGTATTTAATGTGACGCTGCACTCTTATGTTGTAGGAGAAAACATTAAAAAGTATATTTAATTGACGTGTTGTCTATATTTATTTAAAGTTGCGCATTTTTATGTGACGTCACATTTCTTACCCCCCCCCCCCATCCTCACACATCGTCACAAATGTCTGACCCCCCCCCCCCCAGGTGCGTGACGTCATTTATGGACGGCCCCCTTAAGTAAGCACCTTAAAATATATCCGTTATAATTCTCCTCACGCCCCTTGGTTTTAAACGAGTGCAGTCTCCAACCCTTAAATCTTGACTCAAAGCTTTAGTGACCGCAGGAATTCATATTCTTGGGGTTTTCGGTAAAGTCACGTAGATAAGATCAAATAAAATTTTAAAAAATAACAAAAAAAACTCCGACGATTCGATCGCAACACAAGCAATCGTCATCAGGAGAAAAAATATCGGGAAAGCTGCTGCGGCAGACTGTTTTAAAGGTTTGAAATGGGTGTCTCCCAAAGGTCATCAACGAAGTTGTTGGGGCGACTGATGTTAGGGGCCGTCCATAAATGACGTCACGCACATGGGGGGGGGGGGTCAGATGTGACGATGTTTGACGAGGGGGGGGGGGGTGAGAAATGTGACGTCACATCAAAATGCGCAACTTTAAATAAATATAGACAACACGTTCTACTTAATTAAATTGAATTTTTAATGAATGTTTTCTCCTACAACATCAGAGTGCAGCGCCACATTAAATACGCACTACAATGACAATCGTTTAAAGCGATTTGAAGCATGTTTTATTTTGGGGGGGGCAGAGCTTTGTGACGTCATATTTCAGGGGGGGTCTGCCTTTTTGGGCCGTCGTGTGAGGAAGGAGGGGGTCAAAATCGTCCAAAATCGCGTGACGTAATTTATGGACGGCCCCTAAATATATAAATGTGTCGTTAAACCCGCCACTACACGACACAGTCAATTAGTAAGGTTCGTCACGTAAACAAACCCACAACATTTACAATTCGTGTACGACGTATCATCAGTAATTATCACAACCAGCATCATCAGAGGACAGGGGCCGTCCATAAATGACGTCACGCGATTTTGGACGATTTTTGCCCCCCCCCCCCCCTTTGTCACACGGCGTCACAAAAAGTCAGACCCCCCCTCAAATATGACGTCACAAAGCTCTGCCCGCCCCCCAAAAAAAGCTTCAAATCGATTTAAACTATTGTCATTGCAGTGCGTATTTAATGTGGCGCTGCACTCTGATGTTGTAGGAGAAAACATTTATTAAAAGTATATTTAATTAATTACAACGTGTTGTCTATATTTATTAAGTTACGCATTTTGATGTGACGTCACATTTCTCACCCCCCCCCTCGTCACACATCGTCACAAATGTCTGACCAGGTGCGTGACGTCATTTATGGACAGCCCCACAGCCTGACGTAATGACGTTCGTCTCGTTCGTCTCGGGTACGGGCGTAATGGGGGGCTCTGTACATAGACGCCCCACCCACCCCGCCCGAGTGAGAAGTCAACAGTGGCCCGATAAACCAGACGAATAAAAGGCTAAGCAAATAAAATAACGTAACAGCAATTACGCTAAATATACATTTGGTACAAAATCGACTGCGTCACATCGCTTGAGAAATCAACAAATAATACCGCACGAGCACGCATTGGTGATGAAAGGAAGAGAGAAGATCTACCCTGTCGCCGTTGGGAGTCCCCGTGGAGATTTGCATAAGGATTTAAGTGCGTTCGCCATGTGCCGGCCGTGCCGCCCAGATGTCACCAGACACGTGGTGACTGCGGTCTACCGTGCGTGGTGTGGCGGTCTGCGAGGAATGACCTAACACTCATCAACTACTTTGGGTGTCAAATACATGCTTATGTTCGTTGGTTGTCCTTTCCCCGCACCTCCGATTAGCGCGGTTGGCTATGTACGGTGCAAAAGAAGTTAAACCTATACATAGACTCACACAGAGACCCATCGACTCACACAGAGACCCATAAACTCACAGAGACCCAAAAGTTTGTTGTCCTTCGCCCGCACCTCCGATTAGCGCGGGTGGCTACGTACGGTGCGAAAGAAGTTCAACATACACGTACATACTTCTCGTGTATTTCACTGTTACAATTACACTCCAAATTTTTGGCCCAATTATTTATCAAGTTTTTCCGAAGTTGTGTTCAATCACATGCGAACGTATTTAAATGTAGTCTTGTAGACGTCACGTCTCCCTTGTAAGACAATGTTTCATGTGTCTAAATGAGATTGCTTCGTCTAAAGTACTGACCAGGTCATGCACACGTGGAATTTCCACCTCCGACTTTTGGCTGCTAATTTACTAATGAGCCAAGAATGTCTTTGTGTAACGCGCGTGACGTCATTCCACATCGACCAGCCCCCCTCAGGGGCCGTCCATAAATGACGTCACGCACCTCGGGGGGGGGGAGGGGTCAGACATTTGTGACGATGTGTGACGAGGGGGGGGGGGGGTTGAGAAATGCGCAACTTTAAATAATATAGACAACACGTTCTACTTAATTAAATATACTTTTTAATAAATGTTCTCTCCTACAACATCAGAGTGCAGCGCCACATTAAATACGCACTACAATAACAATAGTTTAAAGCGATCTGAAGCATGTTTTTTTTTTGGGGGGGGGGACAGAGCTTTGTGACGTCATATTTGAGGGGGGGTCAGACTTTTTGTGACGCCGTGTGACGAAGGGGGGGGGGGGTCAAAAATCGTCAAAAATCCAGTGACGTCATGTATGGACGGCCCCTCATTAACAAGCATGAACAGGTGGGGTCCTCCACATGGACCCCCCCGGCATTAATAATCTTGAACGGGTGACGTCACTCCGCATGAAGGTGGAGCAGAAACGAAAATTTATTTACGCAAATTAGCTTTCATTTTGGCCTTTCTTTATGGAAAGTAAAACTAATAAAGAAATAAACGCAGCAACTAATATGAGCCAAAAAAGGCTGTCCCGCGCGTGACGTCACTTCACATGAGCCCCCCCCCCCCTCATTAATAATCATTAGCACGTGACGTCACTCCAGATGGAGCACCCCCTTTATTAATAATCATGACTGGGTTACATCACTCCACATGGGGCACCCCCCCCCCCCCCAATAAAAAATCATGAGTTGATGACGTCACTCATGTGGACCCCGCCCCCACCCCCTCATGAATAATCATGAGCGGGTCATTATTTTCGATTTAATATTTCAGATTAACTGCAATATACACCCGTCCTTGGACGGGCTATAGGCTGGTTTAACATATTTAACTACCACTGAAATATGGGCAAAAATCAGGTATTTTTTTCTTCTTCAAATGGCTCGTTGGTTGCCCAACACACTGTGATATGAAGCAGTTAACCAGAGATGGACTCCCAGGCCATAGCTAACATCACCTCCGTATGACATCTGAACCAGTCCTTAGCACCTTCCTTTACCAACCAGCGTTGATCAAACAACCCTTACGAGCGGCATGGCGTGCGAAGGCCTTCAATTAAAAGCGATCTATTGACACGGCCGTAAATCATAACGCCCTTGATAACTTGTGATGCTATCATCAACATGGAGGAATCTTTCCTTCGAGTTATAATACAATTATTTGAACTGTTAATTAATTCACCTACGCAATTGAACTTTAAATAAACTTACGAACGATGTTTTCAGCAAAACCCGTAAATGATATGAATGTTTATTCTAGTCTCAATAGAATATTATTTTACAGGGGTCATATTTCATGTGTAAGTAACCTCTATTTAACCATGCAGGGGAATTAAATATGATATGGCATGACGCATGATGTCTGACAGTAATGTAATTTATTGTAAAGTGCATCGGAGTAGCCCTTACAACAAAAAGTTGTACGTGAGACTCCACCACTGGAAGGGGAGTGAAGTCATGGATGTAGTCATGCATGGGGAGAATAACAAGCAAGGGGAAGAGAGAGAGAAGGAACGGGGAAAAAATGAAAGATTTGAAGCTTTCGTGACTGCAAGGATTCATACTCTTAGTTTTTCGGTAAAGTCACGTAGGTAAAAAATGAAATTAAAATTCATAAAAGTAATCATAGTAAAAATCACGACGTTTCGGAGGCAACACAAGTCTCCGTCATCAGGTGGTACCGTCACAGCCAGATCTGCTGTATCACTTGATACAGCACTTGATATATCACGCCACCACTCCTCCCCCACCACCACCCCCAGCCCCAACGAAAGGTCACCCCCAACACCGGCACAACGGCCTCGTTGGTTACTTGTTGACAGCCCGTCATGGAAATACGAATGGACAAAAAAAATGATCGACCGACGCACGAGGAGTGAATTGTCCGTGTGGATTTGCAAGGTACGGGGGAGGCGTCTTTGAGCGTCATAAATGGCAGTAATGAGAGATGAGGTTACTCATCCGTAGCCCAAGGGAGCGCAGGAAACGACAAACACTTTGCATACACGGGGCGCACACGGCAATCACCAGCGACAAACAGGCGGAGGCGACGTCGAGGAT